TTCTTGAAAGTGTTAGCAGTGAGGCCGACGTACGTTTGCTCCTGGTTACTCTCGTTGTTAGTTACTGTGGCTTGATAAATAACTGATTCCTTCAAACATTTCTTGTCTACAGGGCAATCTTCTGGCTTGTTACAGTTGCATGTTTTCTCGTCCGGTACACTTTCGGTCTGTTTGGTCAAAATGCTTTTATTATTGTTCATCAATTATATGTTTAACGTTCGCCGTACATCCGTAGCTCACTTTAACCGTGTTCCGGTTGAATATTTTACTCAGAGGATGATCTTTCGGGAATTCTTCGTCCAATATCTTGAGAAATTCACGCCCGATGTTTGTAGATTATCTACGTTTCTGCTATATGGGGGGTTGTACCAGATGATTCTTCTCGTACGGTTTCTACGTTGTTTGTTGGACTGGGTTGTAACGGGCGGCTCATACCTCAGCTCATAGTCGTATCCACTATCATTTAATACTTTGTTGGTATGGGGCTGCAGCTTTTTTAAAAGATTCTTCGATGATACTTCGGAGAGCCTTTTATTAATGGATTCCGGTATGTTCTTCAATATGGTTGGTGGGTGGTTTGACCATAGATATAGGAGACCTAGATTGCTAACGCATACCTAGTGCAGGCGGGGCCTACATGATAAATCCAAGATGACGGTACAACAGGGCAAAAAGACTATAGATTCTATTACAAAAATCAGGATTTTTGCATTTTTTGCCGCCGCATTGTTTTGAAACTTATTCGGTCAAATTTTATGGTAAACAGAAACTTACCGCGAAGGTTTTGAGCATACATATGACTGAATTGGATGAAAACTCGCAAAATTATCCATCAATAAAAGTTCATGTATAGTAGTGACATAGTACTATATATATATGAAACTTGTACAGTTTTGCTTTTTTGCTCACTATTTGCATAAAAAGCAACAGATCATAGATGATAGACCCTTATCCAGTGCCCTCATGCAGTTTCCTTCTCTAACAAGCAAGGAGGGAGGGGGGGGGGGTACATAGCAGTTCATTTTTCATTATTATGAGAACAGAACAGATGATGATGAGAGATGCAAGTATAAAACACCATTCACAAGGCTAGATGTTAACATAGCACAGTATTTCTATCAATAAAACGCTCCAGCTGACCAAGCGACCATGCGAGTTTTCATCCAATTCAATCATATATATACTCAAAATCTTCGCGGTAAGTTTCTTTTTACCATAAAATTTGACCGAATAAGTTTCGAAACAATGCGACGGCAAAAAATGCAAAAATCCTGATTTTCGTAATAGCCAATCTATAGTCTTTTTGCCCTGTTGTACCGCCATCTTGGATTTATCATGTAGGCCCCGCCTGCGCTAGGTATGCGTTAGCAATCTAGATCTCCTATATCTATGGTCATGCAGCCATTATAATGCAAACTCTAAATTGGACCAATCAGTGTCCGCTATTCATGATCACAGTCCGCCATATTTTTGAGATCAGTGAGGATGACCACCCACCCCAACATCGTTGGTCACCCACACCCGCGATAATTGATGAACTTTAGACTTCGCTAATGCTTTCGTTTCCCCGGGTGTATATAGCCGGGAGGAATTAGCACCCTCGCACGGCGCTTCGCGCCGTCGGCTGGGGGATCAGTTAAAATAAATATAATGGCATGCAAATAAGATTTTAATTGAAGTTAAACCTTAAACGCATCTAACAGGGGAGGGGAACAAGGGCAACTGTGCCCCGCCCGGCCGTGAGTATATAACTAATTTTATAATGTGTTTATGATTGTTAAGGTTCACACAGACTGGACGCGATTCGTCATTGCGACGCGAATTTTCAATTTTCAATGACATTTAACTTTACTACTTTCCTACGTTTTTCAAATTTTCGGAACCACTTAAACAATTTTAGATATTTGGCTGCATATCGCCTAAAATTTTTATCCGTTGACGGTTTTATTTGTTTTTGGAAACCGAAAATTCGTGACGCGTTGCCGAATTGCGTCCGGTCTGTGTGGGCCTTAATGCATAATTATGCAGGTAGCTGTTTAGTAAACTGTCACTTGTCAATCCATACTCATTGAATTTTCAGAACTTTATTGTAATCATATGAAGCAAAAGTTCTGTCACTTGTTGTTTACATTTGCCAATATTGACTGTTGGGTAACATACACAAACAATTTGAGGACCATGAATTCCTGTATCATAAAGGTCAATCATATATCAAAGACCACTGAATAATAGAAAGAATGTTTTATTGAAGGTCATGAGTGAAGCATGTGTCATGAGTAAAGCATAATTCTAGTGGGCCGTTGTGCGAAAAAGTGCTCGGAAAAGCAATTTCGTGGCAACCCCCTGCCGAAGAGATTTTCTGTGGTTCAATGCATATTACCATAGATGCTCAATCACCAAAAAAAGTTCCCAAGCAGAAAATGTGCCAAAAACGAGAAAATGGGTGATCAGTGATCACCCTCTATTAAATTGCATTGCAGCAAGAAAACGTGAATTGCATCATCAAAAAACTTACAAAAATCTACATATAAGATACTTACGCAGTTTTTTATATTTGAAATTGTATTCGAGTTATACGCTGTCAAAAACGCGTTATTGACCTAATACCCATCCTTAATTTAATGCGACATTTTGGTCCAATTTTTACATTTAAAACAGCAATAACTCAAATACTACTTGAAGGATCAAAAAACTGTTCAAAAGTCCCATATGCGGTTTTTTCTAAGCTTTCTGATGATGCAAGTAATTTTTGTTGTAATTGAATACAAAATGTAACATTTTCTTGCTGTATACAATTTAATAGAGGATAATTACATGTAACGAATATTATTTGTAGCAATGTACTGTACGGTATATCTTCTATAAATGTTATCATGGTAATCATTCAAAGTATAGAAGTCAAGTCGAATATTTTTTGGACATCTTGTACTTACATTTGTAAGCATTCTTGTCCAATGACTTTTGAAGAATTGTTCACTTAAACATGGCTAGAAATCTGCGACAGCCAGCGGTTTGTAATGCAGGCGCACGCACCGTCAGTACGTCATGTTAATGAACATATTGAAAAGCCGGAAAGTACGTAAAGAAACGCTCTTTAAATGTATATGCCCAATAAAGAATGCTTCCTTCTCGTCGGCAAACACTTCAAACTCCTTTATATTATCCTGTAGAGCGACTGATTATAGTTGTCGGAAAAGAAAAAGAACGATAAGTGAGAACTCCTTGCTTGTTTTACTAGACAAATGACTTTAATGACTTTTTAAAACTGTTGGACAATGGACAATGGACAATGGACAATAGCTAAATGATAAGTAATCATGTCAGTGACATAATTATGTCCAACATTTAATATTTTATGTCACTAGCTGATATTATCTCATCTTTATAGAATATGAATCGCGAACAAGAATATTAAAAAAAGCAAAATTTCGATGCGCTTGCATCGCGTTTTAGCGAAGTAACAAGGCGATTTTAAAATGGAAAATAGAGGCAAAATATACCATTCTTTCCTCTACTTGGGAACAGTATTGATATAATATCTTTAGATAAAATTGTGATAAAATTCATGGGGAGAACAAAGTGTATCGATTACGATTTATGGAAATCCAATGTTGATGTACGATCAGCCTGAAAACTGAAGCGATTATGGGGTTTCGTCGTGAAAATAACCTGGATTACTAGTAAAGTGCGCGTGATTATACGTGCAAATTACTGCAAAATTGTTTTGCTTCGGGAACAAAGCCTGCATCGAATTTTGAACTGAAACGTGAACAAGTACGTAGCTATGACGATTATCATTCAAGATCGATTTATGGAATCGTCATATTTGGTTTGTAGGACCAACAAAAACCGAAAAGGCAAGTTAACGTAATGCTTTTCTGGTTATTAAACTTATTCACTTAATATTTACATTACAAAGGAGCTAAGCGTGCGTGTCGGCCTTGTTGTCGCAGATTTCTATAGCCATGGGAGATGACTGTTTAATATGGGTTATATATAATAATACTACCAGGGCCGAAACTAGCCTTTTAATTAGGGGGTGTGTCTGCTGGAATTGCCCTGCGAAAGCCGATTATGCCCTGCGAAAAAAATTTTCCGAACATTCAAAAAAGGGCGGAAAAATTTTTCCGGACATACACCAGTTAAACTAAGGGTCAAAAAATTTTTTTCGGACATATTTCTGTTAAACATGCATGAAACCCTTATTTTTTTACCCATATCTATAAAATTTAGGTCTATAAGGCTACCATGTTTAAATATTCTTAAATAATAATAATAATAAAAATAATAATAATTCAATTCCCTCTGGAAGCCCTGGAAGCCCTGAAAGCTACTTAATAACTCTACATTCTATCATTTAAAATCTTTCATTGCCCTGCCAATCCAGATGATTTGCCCTGCCAATCCAGATGATTTGTACTTTGGGGGGTGTCACACCCCTCACACCCACCCCTCAAGTTTCGTCCCTGCAAAGGACGGTGCGACAGGGTTCATAATAATTTGCTCTTCCAAGCAATTTTATTTTACATAGCAAGCCCCGATGAACTGGGATTTTATTTAGCTCAAACGGGACACCTCATGCACATAGTCAGCTGGGCTGAAATTTGTTTGTGTAAAATTAACCCGGATAACTGGACTGGCATAAAAACCCCGTATTTACAGTGATGGATAACTTTCGTGATAATCTCTTATTTCCTAATAAGTTAATATTGCTGATAAAATAGTCTTTATTCGACAATTTGCCCAATAAAACATAATTTTACCGCCAGTTTTTACCTGCTATAATATTTCAATCGTTTCAGCCCAGCTACCGTTTCTTCCCCGCCGTCAGTGATCCCGGCTAATCGAGCTCGAAAAAACTGCCCATTGATAAGATAGGTGTTTGCAGTTTGTAAGGGTTCGACTTAAATCAAAATTTAAATAGGTAATTAATAAAAAGTGATAAATCCAAGGATAAATATGGAAAGGAAGATAAAATAAATTAGACTCAATATGAAATTGCACAATTTTTATTTCCTGCCTCAATACTCACAACTATCAAATAGAATACCTATACAAAATGAGTTCTGATTCTTCGTCATCACTCATAAATAAATTAGCCATTATAAATATAACCATTAATATCATTAATAATTGATAGAAGTTGTATTTGCGAGTTTTGATCCAACATCTTTTTTTCTGTGCTGAAGCATGCATCTAGATAGCGATAACAACTTTACAACCGACTGTAATGTTCTTTCTTTGTATTTTTGAAGCCCCTGAAATCCTTACCATTATTTCCTGCTTTACTGGTATGCACTCAAACAAACGATTGTTTTCCAAATTAATTGGTTTGGACACACATCTCGCATTTTCACGGTAATGTAATAATATCAAATCACCGTTGGCTAATCCATATCTCGTTGTCGTAAATTCCCCTGTTATGCTACACATATCAAAATATTCAAGGTCTCTGTTAAAAAAGAAATGCCATTTTTATGTTAAACGCTGTTTGTACATAGATACCTAAAAAAATTAAATTAATAATTTATATATAGCAAACCAGCTTCACGGATTTTTTTACATACACGTTACGTATACGCGGCCAATACTCCGAACCGTTGTTTACCTGTTGTGATATACTTTTCTTTCAGGTATTTCGAATTCGTCTTTCCTCCACGCTTTGTCAGTTCAAGATCTCTGTTAATTATACAATATTTCTCAAATTCATTAATAATTCATGATAATTCAGCCAATGATAATCACCTATTTGATCACAAGATGCCATTTGGATACTTGATGAAAGTCACTAGTGTTTTCATCAAATATCTTAATTACGCATGCAAAATTACTTGAATAGAATTCCTAATTACGTTATGCTTGGTTAAGAATTCTATTCAAATCAGGAAACGAAAACATTCTGTTACGTCTCGATTCATTTGAGAAGCCATATAAACAACTCGAGCTCGTGTCTCACTGGGATATCCAAACACTCGAAAACAATGTATGAAAACACTCGCGCTTCGCGCTCGTGTTCTCATACATTGTTTTCTCGTGTTTGGATATCCCGGTGAAACACTCGCTCTCGTTGTTCATATATTTCATAGATACCTCAAAACATCGAAGTGGTCATTAGTCTAAACCTGCTTTTTAGTTGGAGAGTTTTACATACGCGTTACACAGCCAACATTTCAAACCGTTTTATAGAACTATATTGTGATAACTTGAGTTTGGAAAAACACACTAATCCACACCAATCTGAAAGATCGCCAATCAATACGATACAGTGTCTAGTGAAGTACTGCACTAGCGACATGATATTTAAAACTACTTGATCGGTCTGTGCCAGTGTAGGTGGAGCAAAGAGTAAAAAAGCTTCGGATTAAAATAATAGGTGCACAACTACCTGAAAATACAACCAGAACTTTGACGTTTCGAGTCGTCGCTCGAAACGTCGAAATTCTCTTTGTATTCTTCAGGCATACAGTTTATCTTTCTCAATATTTTTCCTTAAGCTTTTTCTTTCAAGTTCTCCCTCACACCAGAGGTCAAAAATGAAACTCAATTGACGGAGTTTCTACAATTTACCTAATTATTGTAATAGACCCGTATCCTGGTTGTTCAAACCTCGATTAGATATAATCCTGGATTTAATTTAACTCGTTGCGTTGCTCCGTATATTTAAGCGCACGTTAATTTTCAAAACTTAGAATATAAACTCTAATTGATGCAGACAAGAATTCTGGAAAATTATTTCCAAGCTTACACATAAGCTGTTAGGAGGTTTGCATAGAAGTTTATTGTTAACTGGCCTAGGATTAAGCTAACCTGCTTTCGAACAACGTACCGGCTCCTCAACTCAATATTTGAGCTTGAATATTTTGTTTGGCGCATGGAAAATTTGACGCATGAACTCGTTGCTCACAAAAATGTTTGCACTATTATATACTGAATTTTCTCAATCATAAAATACCTGTAATCATCCCAAAAGAAATTGTTATATTTTAGTGCATCTACAAAGATGAAGCATGCGGCAACGAGCAGGAGAATCTGTAAACAAAAACGTTATAATTTATAAGCAATTCTGAATTAATGAAACAAATTTTTGGTTGCTTAATTTTCATTAAATTACTGTTTCTATCTTACATGGATTTACGACGAGTCTATAATCCTGGAGACAAAACACCGCTTGAGATGAAATAAGGAACTGAAGGTAAAACATTTTCATAAGTGCATCTTCTTGAAAGGGCCCCACAGTCATTTTTAGTCGAGTAAGTATTGTTTACACTTTCTTGTTATTGTCGCTACTTGACATGCGCATCACGCCATGCAGTATGTGTCTTCCGGTGTGCGAAAGTACTCATACTCATGGATACTTCATGTAAGATACAGCCAAACGAATCTCCGTTGAGTCCCCTACTTAAGGTGGCTTTTCGACTAGAAAATTACTGTAGACTCCCTTTAACTTATATTTAATTTAAACGCTAAGCATGCATGGTTACTTATCATATTTCTACATGATTAGAAATTTAAAAGATCTCTACAAGATTCGTCACGCCACCGAGTTTTACAGTATCAGAATACCCCGAATACTTGAAAATTGCGACTATACGATAAAATAAAACAAAGATTGTGAAGGGGATAAAATTTGTAGGGAAGCGTTGCTTCTGAACGGCAAGTGTTGATGTCCGACGAAACAAGCGAATCCGTATAATCCTGTACAGCGTAAACAGGTTAGGCGAGGTTTTATATTTGTGTTTATTTATATCGAACTAAGTCAGATCTATAAGTGCATATTTAAACTAAATATTAAAGGCAATAGCCATATTGTTCAAGATAAGAGAAAGAAAATTTCGTGTGAATCACCACTTGCATGGAGACACCTAGATGCAGCTTGGATGCAGCTTTGCCTGTGGTTGAAAATCTCCAGAAATATCGGTATACCTTAGAAAACATAGACGGGGTTCTTAGGAGATTTCAGCTGATTCATGCCAAACTTCGCTACACATAAAATATTAAATATCGATTGAGAAGCGTCTTGGCTGTTTATTTGTTTCGAAGACTTGTATATTTCACTAAAGAATATCTCGCCACTCCTTGACGAGTAGCTGTCAAATACTGCCATTTTCTGGGTAGTCATGCATGCACGTGACCGGCCCAGACCAGGGCTTTCTCGTCTTTCCCCTCGTCCTCACATGAAAGCCCTGGGAACGAGGTTGAGTTATGTCATGATTAAGTAATTTAAATTAACAGTTATAGATAACTAAAACAGACCTGGGAATCTTCGTTAAACATTGTACAAACAACATAACATTTTGTTAAAGGGCTAACATTGAAATTTAGCAAAAACAAGAAGAAAAAAAGTTGGTCAAACGATAACAATTTGAGAAAGTTAGTTATATTCATACCTTGAACATGATCTTGCTGTTTTATTAGTAGTTTTTAATGTATCTTCTTGTGTTTTTCTTCAGTTAACTGGAAACTTCTGATAGTCAAACCAAGTGACACGTCCTTTTTATATATGTTCAACACGCATACTTCATATAGATTCAAGATGGGTGCAGCTGCAGATGCCGCATAGATCAGTAAAATACTACAAAACTAACAAAAGGTCCGTGAAGTGGAATGAGTATGTGATGAACGACTTCAGTTAAACAGTCTGTTGAAGCGTTGTTGTAAGTGGAATTTGGAGTGTATAGCCTATATATCCATAATTATATACATTTTAGACCTAACGGAGAACGGCTGTGAAAAATGCAATTATATATATACATATATATGTATACATATATACATATATATATATATATATATATATATATATATATATATATATATATATATATATATATATATATAT